TTTCACCCCTGCCTAAAACTTTTGCACAGTACTGTTGGTTAGTAAATAACTGAACTACATATGCACCTGAATCTGTTGCAGTCCACACATCTATGAGTGTGACATATGTTGCTGTATATCTGTATGAGATATATGTGCTCCTGTGAAAAATAGAAAATATAAATGCATGCATTTCAATATTAGTACTAGCAATTAAGATCAAATAAAAGATATTGTACTAGGCCACTGTCAGAGGTTTTTCACCCTGTGCTTGTCACTTTTTATAGGGAAGCTGTGTGGATAAAAAAGCACTAAACATTTCTGATGTTTTTGTTCTGATTGAAGAGCAATCTTGGAATACTGATTTTGGATTGATTGATTGATTAAATTTGTATGCTGCTCATCTCCCCCAGATGACCAAAAAGAAGGATACTTAGCCTTTCCCTCGTTGCACAAATCCTGGTCTCCTTTGGGACTTTAGTGCATTTATTTGAATGGGATATGTAGTTTTCCCCTTAGGTTTCTGGTGGAGGGGACAATCAGTTTTGTGCAGTTCTGAATCTAAACCAACTATTATATGCTATTTATTTCTAAGTTCCAATCAGTCCTTTGTAAGACTGCCTAGCACAGAGCAGTCTGTTCTAACCTAGTCTCATCGGAAGTGATGAACTACAGCTCTCATCATTCCCCTCCAGCATGGAGATGGGAGTTCCAGTATAATACTTCTGCAGGTTAGATTGGCTGACTGTTGGAAATGCTGGATGACTGAACCCTCCACAAAGGGAACCAGTCATGTAAACAGTGAAGGCGACATACTGCCACCATGTGTTCATCCCAATACATTACTGAGAAAGACAAGCCAATTTTTATGAGTTAATGTTATCACATGATACTAGCTGAGTATTTTGCTACTCTTGAGTTTCTTTCACATTAGATAGAGTAATACTGAGCCATCCAGAAATATTTGTATGTATGCATCAGGTTGTTAAGTTTGTGTTTCCATGTTTTTTTTGTTTTAGTTTGGTGAACATAATGGGTAGATTACCATTTTAATTTGCATCTCAATCTGCTGTTACCAGACCCACATTACAGATCCAATTAGCAGCTGGATCCAAAGTACATAAGATTCTAGCCACAGATTGTTTTCAACTTGAATTAGTTTTTCCCCTTATCTGATTAGCAGAATTCTCCTTCCCCACTGTACTCTTTTGCATTTGTTCCAGGTGACTCTGGAGAATGGAGTAGAATACCCAAACTAGAGTTGGGTAATTCAGGAATAGAGAACATGGAAAATTCTGTTGCTAAAGCAGAAATCTGTTCATATGACAGTCTCTTTGAGGTCTACTGAAAATAAAGGGGAGATTGGGTGGACCTGTTAAGTCTCCCTAGAAGCCAACAATTGTATTGTGATTTCATTTACAATCTTTTTACTTGCTTGTTCTTCTTTTCCCCTAAAAGGTTTGGCAGAAAGGCTATTCTGTTTGCAACCATGGGTGTACAGACAGGTTTCAGCTTCCTCCAGATCTTCTCAACCAGCTGGGAAATGTTCACAGTGCTTTTTCTTATAGTTGGCATGGGGCAGATTTCAAATTACGTTGTGGCCTTCATATTAGGTAAGATTATTTTCACTCTTAAACTTTACTTGCCTGTTTCAATATATCAAAGCAATCACATTTAACAAACAAGTCCATGCTTAAAATATTCTCACCCATAAGTAGTGAAACTATATTTAAGAAAAATAGCTAAATTAAAAGAAAGGTTAAGAATTTGTGGAAGCTGAAAAAATCTGGAAGTTGTATAGAAGAAGAAAATTTGCCAAGTGAAACAAAATACTTTCTGTCAATTTAGCTAGCTGATTCAGTGACTTAAATGGCCCATTCCCACTGTAAGGATATATTGTTTTTGAGATTTAATGTAGCTTTCTGGACAAACATGGATATTTCAATAATTGACTTCAGATTGTTACAGAAGTGAAATTCATTATCTATTCTGAAACCTTCATTAATTCATCAGAAGCCAGAACTTGCTTCACAAGGAAAACAGAGGGAGTATTTAGAGCAGTGTTTCTCAACCGTAGCAACTTGGAAGATGGATTGGGAAATTCTGAGAATTGACGTCCACACATTTTCAAATTGCTAAGGTTGAGAAGCACTGATTTAGAGAATGGGTGAGCAGGCTGAGTAGGAGAGGAGGCATTTTTTAGCATAGAGTGGGAGGATCCCCCTGAACTCCCTTAGCCACTTTGTCATGCTTTCTTCCAGTTAGGCCCCCAAATCTTGAATAACATGAACTGGGAACAGCTGATAGATGTGGGAACTTCCATCTTCCAGTGTTCAGAACCATAGTTAGAAAATTCATGCTTTGCTGGTATGATATTTAAGACTGCCAAGAGACTAACTTTTAAGTCAGCAATCCACTACTTAGTAAGGAGTTAGGGCAGCTTGCTTCTTTAAATCATTATGTTTTATGTCAGTTATTAGCATATCCATGTTGTCTTAGGTAAAGCCCATCTACATCATACTGGTAGACCTACATAACATCATACCAAGCTCTATGCAGGCCACCAGCTTCAGATTGTTTCCTCCTAGAGCTTGATGGTAGTTATTTGACTCCTGGGTGGCTTATGAGTTCAGAGGTATCTAAAAGTTTCATGTTCAGATAGGGAGTTAATTTCTTGCTGTTATAGCTGGATCAAACATGCTCTCTTGAGTTGGGTTGGCTCACTAATTTTACTACAGCTTTTTCTTTACTGATTCTTTATGGATTATATGTGGCAGTGCTATTTTTAGTGGTCTCAGCCACCCGGTGACTACCAAGGATTACCAAATTTATCATGTTGAATGCTAATGCTTCAGAAAGGGAATTAATGGAAATAAAGAATATTAATCTGTCCTTGTTATAATGGCAGTATTTACAATCAAAGAATAAAGAGCAGTGATATTTATTTTGTTGCTCATTTGCATAGAAAACAAAGTCATCACCACTTAGTGGAGTAGGAGGAAAATTACAGCTGGGAACATTAATGAAATTATGTTTCCTCATCAGACATACATACTTAATTCTCTAAGTTTAGGATTTAAGCCTAGTTGTCAAGATAATGCAACAGATTTTTTTTTCATTGTCATTAATACATTGAATCTCAGCAGAAGCACTTTTTTTTAAAAAAAGTAACAATTTGGTCATTAATTAAATTCATTAATTTTAATTTATTTTTAAGATACTGTGCCTTTGAAAACTAGTTGCGCCTGGAAAATTTGAATGAGACAATGTTTTTTAAAAATCAGCTTTTTCCCTTCTTGTTTATGTATTTTAAGCTATAAATATTTACTTACAAGGTGCCAACCCTATTCATGAAGTTCTACAGAATTCTGTAACCATTAAAATGATGGGGCAAATAAGCCAGGGAGGAGGCGAAGGGAGGACAGTGAAGTCAATGGCTTACTATGCAGATTAAGTCTTTGTATGAAGTACTTGCAAGTGGTACCAGACTGTGGCTGTTTACAAGTGGTTGCCCTCACACTGGGTTATTTGGAAGTGCAGATTATTGTTGTTTGAGAATAGTTTTTAATTCTAAACAGTATTGGCCTTATGAACTTGGTCATAGTCTTCCTAGTTATTGATTTAAACATGCCATGTTTTTAATATGTTTTTTCTCCCTTGTATTTTAGAATCTTTGGCAGAAATAAAAGCATAGAATGTACTTGTCTGATACATTATGGACTGTATAATATAGAAAGGGAGAATTGGTGATTGTTTGTTCTTTTTCCAATGTGTGCAAAATTGTATTTCCTTGAACTGCGGTGCACTATTTTTTCCACAGGAAGAGATTGGAAAGAAAAGGAAATGTGAACGTTTCCAGAATATTTTTACAAAATGAACAAAAACATTAAAGGAAATTTTAGCACCTTTTAAAAATATATACATATTCACACACTTTGTCCATATTTGGCTAAGTAAAAATTAATTCAGTTGCAGCTATTTGGAGACATTTTTTAAGTGTTCTCAGTGGATTTAAATATGTTTAAGCTGTTCCTCGTTCTCTACTTAACAAATAAACTGTGTAAAAAAAACATTTCTCTTAATAACAAGTCCCACTTGCATGGATTTTTCATCTGTGTTTTGATTATCTTAAATATTATAGCATCAAAACCCAAATACTGCAGCTGAGAGTGAACAGAGGAAAGAAGCTGGGGAAATATGCTAGTGGTAAACTCACAGAGTTGGTACTGGTTTCTGTTGGTAGAAGCCAGGGTTCAAAAAATGTTCAGTTCAGCTGCAGGACATTCTAATCATCAGAGAATTGCTAGGACTCTGTCGGCATTTATTGCCTGGAAGAAGCAACACCTCTTTGTCAGACTGTATCAAGAATTATGTTTTTCAGGATTAGAATGACCCTATACTACAGAAGAGAAGAGAAATAAATTGTGTTACAAAAATAATACTAAACATCTTCCAAATGAAAATGAATCAGGTCACTTTTGGTGTTCAGGTCATTCTGTTTTTCCTGCTCTGTGCTTAAATGCACTAAAAAACGCTTGTCAGTAGTTTCTTTAAAATTCTGCCACAGATAGTCCCTTTGATTTTCTCATTACATTTCTTTCACTTCAGCCACCCAAGAAAGACAAAGAATCCATGTCTCCTGTTGCTATTTACACTTGCCAACTAAATTCCTATAGCACTGACTACCTGCATCTATACACTTGAAAACAGCTTGGAAGAATCAGGCTGTGCATTTACATTTGCATTTAAGAATGTTTTAAGTAAAAATCTGTCTTAAGTTTCATAATTCTCCTTTAGAACATTATTAACACAAGCACTATTTGAGACCCATGCAAGTGTCAAGAACTCATTAGTTCTAGTGATAGGGCTACCAGATAGGGCTACTGCAAAACACATGACCACTAGATAGCAGCAGCGGTGAAGAGTTTATTGTATCTCTTTGCTGCCATCTAGCAGCTGATGTGTGATTTTGCAGCTCAGATTCAGTAGTTCTGTATAGAACTGATGTAGAGAATGCTTTTACTTGGGCAGGGAGGAAAAAAAAAGAAGGAACGGCAGAGACTGGAAAGGTAAAAAAGGATGTAAAGAGTAACAGAAAAGGAATAGTCAAGATCAACTAGCTAAAGCCAATAGCAAAATAATGGTGGGAGAAAATGGAATCAGTTATTTAAGTGGCTGTTTAATTCCATAGGGAGCCTCAATTGGAACCAAATTTAGTATGTCACCCTAAAGAAAAATGTTAAAATTCCTGTTTATAATGCTTAGCGTTTTAAATTTGATTAATTCCTGCATTGGAGCAAGCCAGTCCTGTGCCTGTCTGGATCCTAACACTAACCCTAACTCTAACCAAATAAACCAGATCATATAATCCAATTCTGTCCCTGGGCCCCATTTCATTCTCTTTAGGCTTCACTCTTACTATTTATTTATTTATTTATTTATTTATTCGGCTTGTATGCCGCCCATCTCCCCCACAGGTGACTCTGGGCGGCTCACAATAGAAACGAAGAAATACAATTCTCTCCAAGATGGCTAAAAACTATAAATAA